AAGTTCACCTGTGAAGCACATCCTGGCCTTAATCAGAGAACTTTCAATGATGGGGAAAGATTTTATCTTTTATGGTAATAATCCATTTCCCAAATGAATTAACTGGGACGGGTGGGAAAAGCAATTAATGCAGTTAAGCAAGTGACTTTTGCCAGATAGTGCCATACTTGTATAGATCCAAGCGGCTAATTCCTGTATATGTGTCAGGGACTGGCAGGATGCTGACAAGTGTGCACTGGGGAAACGGGGCTGGGGTCTGACTCAGGAGAGCGGGGCAGTGGCTTCTGGATGCCAGTACCAGTCAGGATGCAAGAACCAGAGGCAGGGGGAGCTTCAGAACTGAAGGAAGAGGCAGGCCAGGCAAGTGAAGGGCTGGGCGTTCCCCACCCTCTCCATCCCCACTGTCTCCCAGAGCCAGGAGAGAATTGAAATGGGAAGAGCAGAGGAAGTTTCCATGCAAGCAGAGTCTTTTGTGCATAGCCACTGGGGTAAGGTACATAAACTGGTGGAGGGGAGTGGTCCCCAGTTACTGAAACTGCTCCATAGACCTGGGAACAGTGGCGGATGAAAGGGGGTGCCATCCAGGGGGTGCCATCACAGCTGTCCCTGCCCTCACCCCCTTGGACGCTCAGCCCCTGCCATGTATCCCTGGGATGCTCAGAGCTCGCCGCACCCCCCCAGGATGCTCATGGCTCGCCCTGCACACCACTGGACTCATGCTGCTTGCTGCTGCACACACACACCCCGACGCATGCCAAGCCCCCTGGGATGTGCACCAGCCACGCCCCCGGATGTATGCCACTCCCGGTGCCAGAGCAGGTAGCTTCGCCACTGCCTGGGAATAGCTGCCCAGGCACTAGACTGGTGTGGGTAGGTCTCCAGAGATGTAGAAGCAACTGTAAGTGTTATCTCTTTGACAATAAAGAGTTAACTCTTGGCTGTGTGCATTCCTTGGCTGGGAAGTGCCCTTGACAATGTATGACCATTTTTTAAAGCACTAATCCACTCCCTTCACTTGCCCTGCCTGGCATCTCAAGTGCTTTTGCCTGCCTGGAATGTGTCCTGGAACGCTGATAATGCCTCTTGCTTGTCTGGATGGAGAACAGAGGTGTGTGTGTGTGTGTGTGTAGAAAATAGATTAGCATACCCTCCAACCTTTCTCCGATGAAAATAGGGATGTCCCATAATGATAATTTTACTATTTATACCCTGCACATCTTATTGGGTTGCCCTAGCACTCTGGGCAGCTTCCAACATACTGTATATAAAAACATAACAAAACATTAAACATTAAAATAACCTTCTCCATACAGGATTGCTTTCAGACAGCTTGGGGGTTGGATAACTCTATATGCTCCAACATTTCTCCAGCGAAATGGGACATCCTAAGGAAAAGCAGGAGATTCCAGGATCAAATCAGAAACTGGGACGACTTCTCTAAATCAGGGACATCCTTGGGACGCGGGTGGCGCTGTGGGTTAAACCACAGAGCCTAGGACTTGCCGATCAGAAGGTCGGCGGTTCGAATCCCCGCGACAGTGTGAGCTCCCGTTGCTCGGTCCCTGCTCCTGCCAACCTAGCAGTTCAAAAGCACGTCAAAGTGCAAGTAGATAAATAGGTACTGCTCCTGCGGGAAGGTAAACGGCGTTTCTGTGCGCTGCTCTGGTTCGCCAGAAGGGCTTAGTCATGCTGGCCACATGACCCGGAAGCTGTACGCCGGCTCCCTTGGCCAATAAAGCGAGATGAGCGCCACAACCCCAGAGTCGGTCATGACTGGACCTAATGGTCAGGGGTCCCTTTACCTTTTTCAGGAAAAGCAGGAGATTCCAGGATCAAATCAGAAATTGGGACGACTTCTCTAAATCAGGGACATCCCTGGAAATTAGGGACAATTGGAGTGCCTGGGTTAGGATTCAAAGGTAAAAGTTGCATTCATTGCTCTGGAATCTTTGTTTATTTATAAGAAAATGACTATAGCTCAGTGGTAGAGCATCTGCTGTGCATGCAGAAGGTCCCACGTTCTTATCCCAGGCATCTCCCAGACTCCTGTCTGAGAGTCTAGAGCAAAGCTTTCTAAACTGTGTGTCGTGACACATTAGTGTGTCAGCAGCAGTGTGTAGGTGTGCTGTGCAAACGCTCTCCATGCTCCTCTCCTGGCTGGAAAGGGGTTAGGTGAACATCCGGTTTGCTAGTAAAACTGAATTACCGTGTTGCGAAATGATGCATGTCTAAAAAGTGTGTCACCAACATGAAAAGTTTGGAAAGCTCTGGTCTAGAGTGTCACTGCCAGTCAGTGTAGGCAGTACTGAGGCCGATGGCTCTGTGGTCTAACTTGGTATTACGTGGCTTGCTATAGATCACAGCCTTGGTCCTAAAAGGCGGCCCATGGCTCCCTTAAATGAATAATAAATAATTATGCTTTCAAACTGCTATCTACCTTTATGTGAATCCATAAATGCATATTGATCTATATTTAAAGAGGTGTACCTGTTGATCTTTCTCTAGGCTCTGTGTAGCATAGAAATGGCATCCAAGTAAATAAACAAATCTGAGATATTTGTGCAGGGCCGTTTCACAAGGATCACTGAAACCTGTTGCTGGAATGGTATGCTCTAGAACACACTTCTCTTGTGGTGAAATCCAGAACACACTGTACTACTTCTTGTAGGAACTGATTCTTATAGGGGGCGGGGAGAGATTACCCGATTCTCGTTCATTACCTCTGTCAGCTTTAATACATCCTTGGAGAGAGAGAGGGAGAGAAAGAGAATAATCCTCATTGCACTATTGATAGTGGGGGCGGGGGAGGCTGTAATGCTTCGGAGCTTTGCCTTAATGTATTGTTCTATTGAATCTGATCATTCCTGATGAAAAGGCCAGCTATTCCAGACACAAAGTGAATCAGAAAGCTGGTTGTTTCCTCTCTGAGTACAGACACCATTAAATGGCATTCCCCCCTACCGCCCCCCCGACAGCCTGGTTATTGAAATTGGTGTGGGCGAAGTCACTTTGATGGGCTCAGCGTTTTTAGTGTGCATTGACAGAAACTAAATTGGAAAGAATGCAACAAATGTGAGGTTTTAGCGGAGTATCGACTTAATATAGATTGAGCAGAGGCGACCGGCGGGGGGTGGGGGTGGGGGAGAAACATTGCACGGCGTACAAGTTGGAACTCCATGTTGTCTTATTAAACAACGTGGTGACAGATAAGGCTGTCTGCACGGTTGGACCTTGGTTTTCAATCAACTGGATCATTTCTGTAAGGAGCTATAATATCCCATTGCATGGCACTTCACTAAGATTACCAGGAACAATGGAGCAAAAGCTCTGGTTTTATTACTTGCAAGCAAAGATGGGAGAATATGTCAATTTTGGTTGCTCTTGGTATCTCATCCCCCCCCCCCCACCGCAAAGACTCATGAGACAAAGATTGGTGGAATGGTTATCTTTAGGAGCAGAAAAGAAAGGCATGAATTGCAAATCAGATTAACCAGATGAATTCAATTCACAAAGTACAGGTATGTGATGATTTTAGCTAATTCTAGTAGGACAGCATCCCTCCAGACCCTTGGGCATGGGATGCATCCACAGGATGTGGCTCTCCACCCAAGGGTGGGGAGAAAATGACTCCCTGCTTCCTAAGTGAGCTTGGGGTATATGAACCCAACACATGCACTCAGGCTCCACTGTCCAGTGTTCACCCAAAAGGTACGTGTCAATCCTAAAGGATACTTAGAGAGGGACATATTATCTTCAGGGTGCCACGCTACAGGGGGCACCACAAAAATGCTGTAGAATGGAGCGAGAGAGGTGGGGGGCACCAAATTTTAGAAGCGCATAGGGCATCACCGAATTTTGAGAGCCCAAAGTCCACCACTGATAACCATCTTCAAATATACAAAGGACTGTCTCATGGAAGACCAAGTAAGGTTGTTTTCTGCTGCTCCAGAGGGTAGGACAATGGCAAGAAATGAGATTTTGACTACTTATTTATTTCATAAACTTTATCTATTGCTTGATTGTAGAAAAACTTCACAGTGGACTAAACAGTAGGAAGAACATTCTGACAGTAAGAGATATTTGACAGTGGAATAGACTACCTTAGAAGGCTGGATGGCCATTTGTCAGGGATTCTTTAGTAGGGGGTTGAGCTAGATGACCCTTGGGTTCTCTTCCAACTCTACGATTCTGTGATTCTATGAAACCCTGGATCACCTCTGCCAGTCAATATAGAAAATACAGAGTTAGGTGGACCACTGACCCAACTTAGTATAAGGCTGCTTCCTGTGTTCCTAACTGCTCCATTCACTGATTAAATGTGACTGTGTAAAGATGAATAGCATAGATTTTGGTGGGAGGCGAACTGCAGCAGAATGGAAAGAATGTTGCACGCAACAAATACAAGGCAGAACAGAAAATGGTACCTTCTTACATCCTGCTGAATGCTGAGGAGTGGTGGGAGGAACCAGCTGGGGAGCCCCCAGGGAAGAAGGAATTGGTGGTGGGATAAATGGGAAGAGAAGAATTCAGAAGCCGAAGAAGTAACAGGGTTTAGTGAGCAGGAAGAGTCTGTGGCAGAGAGCAGTCCAGAAGCAGAGGCAGAACAGGAACGGGTCCAAGAGGCAGAGATGAGTCAGGCTGGTGAAGAAGCCAGGGTGTCTCCACCTCCTGATGTGACAAACTCTTCCTGCTGGTGTCCCAGAACCATAAGATGTATAGAGGAGCAAAGGCAGGCATGGAAACAGAGTCTCAGATTGCTTAGGAAAGGCCCTGGGGAGAAGAAGACCTTCAGTCCCCACAACTGCTTCATGGGGCAAGAACTACTGGGATGAGTTGATGTGCTCACTAGGCCTGGCCTCCTGAGTCAACCTTATTTCCTTGAATAAAGAGTTAACTTCACTGATGTCGTGTGATTTATTGCTTACCTGCTCCTGACACCCACTCCTGACACATCCCTACCAGGGTGTCCTGAATTATATCAGTTTAATTGTTTGAGGAAGGGTTGTAGTTTAATGGTAGAGCATCTGCTTTGCATGCAGAAGATCCCAGATTCATTCCCTGGTATCATCAGCTAGGGCTGGGAATGTCTGCTGCTCAGAAACCCTGGACAGCCTCTGCAAGTCAGTGTCTTGAACTAGATCGGCAAATGATTCAGTAATCTGCAGCTTACTAAATTCCATTGTTGCTAGTAATTACCAGTCCTGAACCAAATCAAACCTAGGGGGGTTGGCCATCCCCATTAATTTTTAGCTGGTGATTTTTTAAGATGCTTTGTTTGACATGCTTGCTTTGGGATCAGCAGCTGGTCTGAGGGTGGCGGTGGCTTTGAAACCCTGTAAACGAACAACCTTAGAACAGTTTGGCATCGACTCCTGCCTCAGCTGTCCTGAAGTGGAGAAGAACTTTCATCAAAGTTGGCCTTGAATGGAAATGCTTTCAGAGCAAGGCCAGAAATGTTCTACACCATGACTGGAATAGCCCTCCGAGACAGAAATAAGCATTGTTCTCCCCAATGTGTTTTTAGATCGAAAGTTGGTTATTGTCACAGCATGATTGATACCGCAATCATCGCCACTGGGGGAAGGAAACAAGAGTCCTGTTCCCAAGCCAGACGGAAGCAATCCAAATAGGCCACCTGCTTGTCATGCCTTGTCTCAGCCTGGGAGTGTCAGAAGCGAAAGAAATGAAAAACAAGCAAGAGAAGGGGGGGGAAATGTTTTGGGGAAAGGCCAGGGACCCCACATCCCTTCCCCTCCCCCCAGTGGTTCTGAGATGCTCTTAAAAGAACCTGCTGATATTGCCATTTCAGTATTCCATGGGATGCAGTTTTGAAATTGTTTCATTGGCGACGTGAATCTGATCGGATGCCTTGCAAGCAGAAGTCAGCAATATGCCATATGTTGCCGCGTTCCACACAAACAGTCAAAATAGCCTCATTACAATTTGTGAGAACTGTCTTGGATATCGCATCTCTCCTTGGCAGGCTCCGAGCAAGAGTTATTACTTTTTTTATTCCGAGCTGACAAAATAGCTTCCCTGTGCTTATTCGGCAGTTGCAAAGCAGAGGGTGAGGTTGGAAGCAGATATGTTTTAGATCTGTGGCCTACCTTTGTTTGCAGTGGCTTGCAGTTCACCTGTGCCATAAAACATGTGGGAAATCACACCATGAGGCAGAAGTGAACTCTTGAGATGGGGGAAGACTGACAGCCTGTCTAGACGCAGGGCATCAGATGACTCCATTGAAAATGGACCATCAGGTGAAGTTCCTTCTGTCTGCCCATTCAGCACCCATCATGGCAACGACTCTTGCTATGAATGCTTTTCATCTTAGTTCTCTACAACAATTTTTGTAAAGAACCATGCAATAACAAGACAGCAAGATAGGCTGTACTCCTAACACCTGGGAGGAATTCTATGAGTATTAACTCCTGAGTTGGAATGGCTAGAATAGCTGTCATAGATGGCTTTGTAATGGGCTGTTAGCCACTTCATTAACTTTGTCTTTAAGGTAACGCAAGCTCTTCCTTGTTTTGGCTGCAAAAGACTAACCGGCCTACCACTCTGGAAATTCATTAATTTTGATAGGCAACACACAAGGAAGGTAACTGATTTATGAATATCTGTTGATAGATGAGATATGCATGACTATTGTGTGACATGAGATAACACAAAAAATATACGTATATTTCTGCATCATTGGAAGACAAGATGGACCTTGTGCAAAATAAGCCAATTGCAGTGGAATGGAAAGTATCAGATGAAAGTATGAATGAATGTCAGAGCGGACTGAGACATGTTTGTACATCCCTATCTCGAGGTTATATTCACCATGGACATTCTGATTATAGGTTTCCTACTGCTTCATGGCAATATCATTGAAAGCTCACATCTTCCGTTGGGGCCCATCACATTGTGTTTCCTTATTAGTAATTGTCATTGATGTAGATGAAATTCACAGCAATGGCCTTAAGTGTACAGGGTTGTTGTAATATAAGCAATATGTCCAAATGGTGCAAATGCCTCCTTGGGTAAATGTCTGCTCATGATGGCTGTGCTGACAACACCAAAAACCCAGCTCTATTCTAGACTTTTAAAATGATTTTATCTTGCATTGGCAATGCCTCCATTTATCAAGCTGATGGCCAAGGCATGGTCTACGGAATATGGTGGCATCATCATAAGACAGCGGCGTAGCGTGGGTTGTCAGCACCCGGGGCAAGGCAAGTAATTTGCGCCCCCTAACCCGTGGCAAGGCAAGTAATTTGCGCCCCCTCACCCCTAACCTGCCGCCGCTGCCAGCTTCTTCTTGCTGCTGCCTGGTCTGGTCTGGTGTGGTTCTCTCCCACGCTCAGCGCTGCGCTGGGCGGCCACTACACTGTCCCTCCCCCAGATAGTCCCTCGCTCTCTCTCCGCACCACACGCCTGGCACCCACCCCCTCCACAGTGGGCGGCGACCCAGCGGCTCGGATCGGATTCGCACAGCCAGCACTGCAGTGAGAGAGAGTGAGTGAGCCAGGTAGGGGCAGAGAGCTGCGAGTGCGAGCGCGCGCCCCCCAGATGTTGCGCCCGGTGCGGCCGGCCCCCCCTGCACCCCCCACGCTACGCCACTGTCATAAGATAGTGGAATGGGCTCTGAGGTGCCATTTTTAAAAGCAAGAAACAGTTGTCATCTGGACATCCAAGATAAATGTTGAGTCAAGGACAAGCTTTTTTGTAAACCTCTGTGTTTTTTTAAAACAACAACAATGCAGTATATACATTTTAATAAATAGAAAAACAATCCCAAACTCAGGGCCTATTTTTTGACATATCAAGCCAGACCATTGGTCTATCTGTCTCAGTATTGCCATCACTGATTGGCAATCACTCTTCAGGGGTTTAGACAGGGACTCTTTCCGAGCCCTACCTGGAGAAGGTTCCAGGGACTGAACCTTGAACCTTCTGCATGCAAAGCAGATGCTCTTCCACTGAGCTACAACCCTTCCCCAAAAAGACATAGGAGCACCACTGTGAATCTAGATCAATTTGTATTTATTGATTCAGGTAAGGGTAGATTGCTGCAGAACCATTTCAATATCCAATATGCATTTGTTGTTGCTGATAACAAAGAGGCATTTCTGAATGCACTAGTTTTCTGTGTTCAGATATTTGGATTGTTTCCCTGTTGGAAAACTTCACCAACTTTCCACTTTTCAATTAAAGTCCAGGGGTAGGTGTCATGAGGCAACATTTCCCATAGGGCTTTTTTAGATTAGGAATTTCAGAGAGCCAGGGAGGTTGCAGAGGGCTAGAGAAATGTTTAATGGAAAGAAAAACACAGATCACACCATGCCACCTCACAGTGTTCAGGTAGGTTCAACCCCTGGTCCTCACAATCAGGGAGAAACTTTTTGATGAAGTGGAAGTACTGGGAACCTTGGGGGAAAGTGATTATATATCCTCTTGAGTTTCCTTATATGGAGGCAAGGGAAAGCTGAGTGTAGTTGGACATGCACTCTGGACTTTAAGAAGGCTGATTACAAAAAGCTTAGGGAATTACTGGGTGAGATTCCATAGTCAGAAATATTAAAAAAGAAGGGAGTTTCTTAAAGGTGAGATATTTAAGGCACAAATGCAGAGCATTCTGAGGGGGAAAAAAGAGTGGGAGACATTTAAAGAAACTGGTGTGGCTGCATAAGGAGCTTACAAAGGACCTGAGATTTAAGAGGGGCATGAATAAGAAATGGAAGAACGGGGAACTCAAGAAGGAAGAGTAGCCAACAGTTACAGGGAGAAGAGCTGGTGGGCCAAAGCTCATAATGAGCTCAGGCTTGTGACAGAGGTTATAAATAATCTTAAAAGGCTTCTTCGGCTATGTTCAAAGCAAGAATAAAAGGCTAGTAGGTCCTTTACATGAAGAAGATGGAGAAATGCTACTGAGTGACAGAGAGAAGGCAGAACTGTTCAACACCTACTTTGCCTCTGTCTTTACCCAAAGGAAAAGCAGTGCTCAACCTGATGATAACTGATTAAATAATGCAAGGAAGGAGCTACAACCCAAGATAGGGCTGCTGGTCCACCAAACTTAGTCTGTCCTCAGCCTGCCCTCACTTGCCTCCCTTCTTACCTACATCCCATTCAGAGGGTTGCACTGGCTGGCAGTGGCTTCCTTCTTAATTTCAGTGTTGCCCTTCTAGAACTTAGCAGGGAGGAGAAAGATGGGGACAAAACTGGAATTAGTTGATTCTGTTGTTGGCTCTGACGCCACCTACTGTTGGCCTCCATGGTTTTCTCCCTACCAGTCAGTAGCTACCACTGCAGCTACAACCACACTCCTATTAAAATTCCAGAAAGTCCTGGTCGTGCCTGCATCTGCCACCACTTACTTCCTGCTCATGTTATCATCTGACATTGTGACAGGTTTGTCATCTCTAGTTCTTAAAGCTTCCAAGTTGAGTGAGTATCTTTGCAACATATCAAGAAAGCTCCCCCCACCCCAGATTCCAATTTCCTCCTTGATTATGAAGACTATATTTTATGTGATTAATGGGAGAAAAGTAGCTGTTAGAAGCTGTTTACCCAGTGTGAATTAGAACACTAATTAGAAGAGACATGCATGTTAATGAGCAAAAGGAAGTTGATCAGTATGCAACCAAAAGTTTCTCATTTAATTGTGTGTGTACGGGGGGTGGGGGTGGATTTGGATAATGTGTTTTATATGCAGAGATGCAATTGCCCTTAACCAAAATGTCACTCATATAGACACCCTGGGATCAAAATAAAGACTTTATACCGGAGGTTTGTATTTATGTTTAGGTTTCAATTAATTGTATGTATGTGTTTGTTTATGTGTATATTTTTGTATCCATATTTTTAAATTACTGCTAGGCTGGGTGATGGATGCTAAATCACTGTGACATTTACATGTTGTGACCCTTCCCCCGGGGGGGGGGGAGTACAGCATCCTTGAACGGGGGGGGGGGGTACTTTTAGCAATCATATATTTATCCACACTTAGCCCTAGCATTAGGCATAGTGAAACAATTGCTTCAGATGACCACACAGATCTTCTGCATTTCCATTACAGATGGTAATGTCCATTGCCCATGGAATCTTATTTTTTCCTAGGCTCTGCCAACCATGCATGAGAGGTCTCCAAGCTCTACCCACTTAATTTCTGCATTTTTTTCAAGCTCCTCCCCAGCCTGTCAGTTTATGTCCTGATTTTGCTTATCAAAGCTGCACAGCCTGAGCCCATCCAGAGGGTCAGTATTATTTTGCAATCGAAATCCTCTAACTTTCTCTCAAAGCAAGGATAGAAACTTGATGGAGTCAAGCTCTCATCAACCTAATCAACCATGACTCCAACTTATGGGAGTTGGAGCCTATCATCCTGTGGAGGGCCACCATCTCCTCATCCTTCTCCTCAAGACTTTGGTGACATTCACACCCTACATTTAAAACACTATGATATCACTTTAGACAGACATGGCTTCCCCCAAGAATCCTCAGAACTGTAGGCTGTTAAGGCTGCTGCGCATTGTTTGGAAAGCCTAAAATTCCCTCCCAGAGCTATAGCTTCCAATTCCCAGAAAAGCTTAATCTTCAACCCATCTTCCCCACGAACTCTGGAGATTGTAGTTCTGTGATGGTAATAAATAGGACTCTCCTAACAGCATGCTTAACAAACTACAATTCCCAGAATTCTTTGGGGGAAGCCAGGACTGTTTAAAATGGTAACAGCACTTTGAATGTGACCTTAGTTGAAGCCCCAGGGGGAAACCACTGGAGGGAAATGCTATATTGTTTTCTAGCAATGAGCTTACAAAACAGTATCGCCGTAAACCTCTCTATCACCCACAGCTTAAAAAGCAAATAAACTCCCCAGCTATTCCGTAAGCAATATATGTCTTAACAGCTAAAGTGATACCTAAGCCAATATTTGTAAGAGAAAAAACAGTGCTACAGTTTCTAATTACATTCTCCTTAAGAAGAACCTTTCATATTTAAAATAAGGAAAAGGAAAGAGTGTACTAAAGGTGAGAATGAAGTACCTAGTCCTTGGGAGGTCTAAATCTGAGATTGGGAACATGTAGCCCTACAGGTGTTCCTGAACTACATATCCCAGGGGTAGGCAACCTAAGGCCCGGGGGCCGGATGTGGCCCAATCGCCTTCTCAGTTCTGCCCACGGACGGCCCAGGAATCAGCGTGTTTTTACATGAGTAGAATGTGTCCTTTTATTTAAAATGCATCTCTGGGTTATTTGCAGGGCATAGGAATTCGTTCATTTTTTCTTCTTCAAAACATTGTCCAGCTCCCCACAAGGTCTGAGGGACGGTGGACTGGCCCACAGCTGAAAAAGGTTGCTGACATATCCTATCATCCTTCACAATTGACCATGCTGGCTGTGGCTGTAGGAAGCTGGAGTCCAACCACATCTGGAGGCGACAAGTTCCCCACTCCTGTTCTGTACACAGAGTCAGGCTATTGGTGCATCTAGATGTGTGTTGTCTACACTGACTGCCAGCACCTCTCCAGATTCTTAGTCAGGGGTCTCTCTCAACCAGACTTGGAGATGCCAGGGATTGGAGATGGGACTTTCTGCATGCAGAGCAGATCCTCTACCACTGAGATACTGCCCTTCCATTAATCATCAACCCTCACCATCCCTGACCATTGTTGACCATACTTGCTAGGACTGGTGGAAATTAGGAGTCTAATAACACCTGGTAGGCCACAGACACCACACCAAGAATTTAACCGGTAACATTAATTTATAAAATATGTAAACTCTCAGTCTTCCAAATTCAGTGGGACATATTTGTTAGAAAGTCAGACCAAGGCTAGGGACACTGAGATTTAAATTCCCCATTCAGCCAAGAAGCTCACTCTGTGACTTTGGGTCAATCACTAGGGATGAGAGAGAAAGTTGGTGGCCACATTATCATGCAAACTAAAAATGCCTTGGACTTGTAATGGAAATATAGTGGTACCTCGGGTTATATACGCTTCAGTTTACAGACTCCACTAACCCAGAAATAGTATCTTGGGCTAAGAATTTTGCTTCAGGATGAGAATAGAAACTGCGCAGCAGCAGCAGCGGGAGGCCCCATTAGCTAAAGTGGTACCTCAGGTTAAGAACAGTTTCAGGTTAAGAACGGACTTCCAGAATGAATTAAGTTCTTAACCCGAGGTACCACTGCGTGTGGCTTGAGGTTCCCACTTCAGGCATAAAGCTTGTGAATCTCCTATTGGCCTCGGCTTGGCTAATGTGAAAACAGGATGCTGGATTAGCTGGGCCCTTGGTCTCATCCAGCAAGCCAGGCTCTTCTTATGTTTTTATATGGCCGCTAAGTGATTGAAAACTATCCAAAATTTGAACACGATACACATCCATTCAACATCCCCATGCATCAATATGAATTCATTGCAGCATCTTATTTGGAAATGACTGTGTCAAAGTATTGATGGCATTCCAGGTTGAAACATGCATTGCCCCAGACCTGCATGGAAATGAGATTCGTTTGCATCCCCACTGTAACTTATGACATTTTTCTAATTAGGGCAATGTTTAATTTACTGTCTGGTGGCTTTTTGAATAAATATAAATTGTCATGCTAAAGTGACAGGTGTGAAGCCCAGGGTAGCTGCGTTAGTGAGGTTAATCTGTTCTTAATCAAATCAGCTCTGCTTTGCTTTCTCCTGGGAAGGGAGCGATAATAGCCCTCTTTAACTGGAGATAAGACAGCCTTTTGGCTGGAATTCCAGGAAGGCTTCTGCTGGCTCTTGTGGTGCGTTTATTTGCTGGTGAGATGTTTCATTGCACCCGGGCTTTGAAATGGATTTGCCTCCAAACAGAGTGATGGGGCCACTTGTTGGGTTGTTGGTTGACTGGACACAGTGGCCTTGGAATAATAAGCCAAATGTGGATGAGGTCATGAGTGACAGTACCTTATGTGGAATTACAGTACTGCATAAGTAATGCCATGCATGCAACAGCATGGCTT